ACATCATCGCGCCTGTATTTCTCCACCGATTTGGTGACAGTGCGCGCGCGATGGTGTCCCTGCGCAGCTTTCTTTTCATCATCAACACCGAGTTGGCCAGCCCAGCAAAGCGATGTAACTTTGAGCGAGTGAAGGGTGTAACGCCTAGCCGTTTCTGCATCCAGGTCCGTGTAGCACACTAAACAGCGCCTGAAGGTAGCCACCACTGCTGCGTAGCCTGCGGGCTTCGACATGTGACGTAAAAGATAATCACGCTTCGCATCCTCCTTACGCAGACGAGCAATCTCCTGCGCTAGCGAGCGGCCCCAGTCGGACCCACAAGTCCCGCTGCATATGGCACCCTATGGCATGCCGGTGGCACTCGTCTTGGTTCGCCAGCACCAACCTCGGATGCTTCCGCCATCCAGCATCACTGAGTCGAAATCTAGGCGCTGTGCGTCACTCCACCTCAGCCCGGCCCACAGCATGAGGAGGAAGCACAAAATCGGCCACCAATCCCCCGGCTCGCAAGTCCCCAGCGCCTGTTCCAGCTGGACTGCCGCAAACAAAGGCAAAGGAAGCGCCTCCTTCACCGCCAAAGCGGTCCACTTGCTGCTGGCCAACCATGATGTGATGGGGGAAGAGCACAGGGACTTGAGAAGAGAGTCCAGCCCTAACTTCCTCACAACGAACCGAAGGGCCTGAACCACAGCTTTGGCACGACCACAGCGACCCTTGCCACGATCCAGCTTTGCGCCCGTGGCTAATGCGTCCAGGAAGTCGAGGAGGGATGCCAAATTAACCGAAGCCGGCGCCAACTGCGCTCCCTGACAAAAGGCCATAATCTCCAGCCTGGCAAATGTTTCCGCAATGTGCCTGCAGAACGGTCTGAAAACAGGAAGAGCAACTGGTCCCGTCTACGATCCTTTAGCTCGCACAGAACCGAGCTCTCGTCCGCTACACACAACGCAAGATCAACCCAAACACTAGCCCACTTCAAACGGGCGTCGTCTTCAAGCACACGCAACGAGGAACCGTTGCCACCTGACCCTGGAAGGAGCAACGCTTTACCCATGGACCACGTAGGGGAGGCCGCGGCGATCTCCGGAGCATTGTGGCTGAGGCCGCCATCCTGACCGTCCTGACCCTCAACTCGCAAAACGGACAGTGAACGGTAAGAAGGCCTGGGCAGCGGAGAGTCTGCTGCGGACGGGCGCGGCTGCACAAGCACTACAGGGCGGGGCCGACCTCCGCCAGGATATGGTGTTGCCCGCACTGGCTTAATGGGGATAGAAAACATAGCAAGCACGAAGAAGAGAGCAGAACGCAAAATTCAGCTGCTTGACCTGAGGCAGCAAAAGCACCTGAACAAATGAGAAACCTGGCAAGACAAGCTGCAAGAAGTGGACATGTCATGCTGCAAAGTCCAACGAGGGTTACGTGTGTGCCTTGGCCTAGCCCACCAAGCCCCAAGGCAAACACCCCCTGTGTCAGGGTGTGAACCTTCGGTCGGCTGCTGACACGAGATCGGCGGTCTCTCGTTTGCGTGACATGTTCGCCCGACACAAGGAAGGACAGCGTCAGCATGGAACAGTTGCTAGGAAGATGTTTTTGCTTACCATCTATGGCCAGCTTCACGACCTTGTTTCGGACAGCCTCTTTTTGCCGTCTATGGCAGCTTCAAGACCTTTTTTCGGGCACGGAGCGCTTCTGCACCCCATGCTTACCTCGCGCACGAACAAGGAGAAGTGGGCCGGGGTCCACAAACCGAAACAATGTCCCTTGCATGCCTCCGGCTTGCACGCAGCCCTCAGCCGGTGCGTCGGGCCCTCCACACCCAAATCCACGAAAGTGTAGACGCCGGGATCACGGTTTGCTCCGAGCAGCTGCTCAACTTCGGCTCGCGTAGTTCTCAACCGCATTGCAAAGTTCTCCGTCGAAAGGAACCTACCACGGGGTTTCGGTTTTGGCTACACTCTTCCGGCTGTCTGCCGCTAGTTCCTCCTCCTCCTCCTCATGCTTGGCAACCTTCGTCGCAGGCTGCCGTGCCTGAGCATTTCCTCGAGACTGCTCTCCTCCGGCGCCCTGATGTGTTTCCTGCTGCGCTTGCCTGGGCACAAGCTTCGCATTTCCACTTTCTCCTTCCACTCCATCTGCACTTCCATCTCAGGCCGAAATCGCGCGGCGCACGAAGCCCTGCCTCCGGCCTCGCGGCAGGATGGCTGCACTCGCTGCCTAGGAGCTGTGGGAGGGGCTGAAAGCTAAAAATGGGAACGTCCGTGGGGAACTGCCACATTCTTATTGTGAAATATGGCCAGCCATTTGAAGCAGTCTTGACTGTGCTCAGGTCCTGGTCGTGCATGCATACGAAGATCTCGGAGTTGCTGCATGACTTCTTGTCTTTCCTTTTCAGTGCCTGTGAACACAACAAGATATGTTGCAATTGCCCTCGCGACGACATCTGCATGCACCTCCAAAAAAGAAGTTGCGGCTCGGAGGGCGCAGGCTGCGTCTTTTCTGAGCGTAGAACCCACCTGTTTGGGGTACCTTCCAGCATACTGCCTGACAGTGCCGCCGTCTCCGCCTTTCCACTCGTTTCGACTGATCTCCACAACCAGATGATTAATTGTAACCGCGAGCCTCATATTCACGCGGGTGTCTCCTGGCACGGAAGCAAAAGCAAGGACAACGACGACGAGGATGAGGACGACGATGACGACGAACCACCACCACCACCACCACCACCACCACCACCACCACCACCACCACCACCACCACCCCCGCCACCGCCACCCACGCCGCCGCAATGGCTCTGGCCACTTTCAAGGCCTCTCTCGCAGCTGACGGTAGATGCACTGGAGCACGGGGTCGATGAGCATAACCAAAATTTCGAGCACACCACTGCAACATATCTACGAGCTAACTTTGATCAACCCTACCGGACCATCTGCAACTTGACAGTCTACAGGTCGACGTCCTGCGCGGAGAAAATCGGTTTGCAAGACCCTTCTTCCAACACGCTTCAGACTGCACCTACCAGGATTGTAACATGGAGTTTGCTGGAAGAACAGGAACGAGATGTTTGTGCTGTCATGGTGCGCGCCCTTATCGGGCGCTTGCTCCTGCTTTCCTGCGTTCCGTGCTCGTGAGAGGACATCCGCTGGTGTCAGTGCATTGCACCGCCTGTGGACCCCTCCAATGCACGTTCCGAGGCGACGTGCGTTGCCTTCTGAACTCTCCCGACAACGCAAATTTCGGACACAAGGATGCAGAAGCCCGAGCAGCGCATAACTGTCAGCACGATACAGGCGTGCTGGAAATGCCGCATGCGTGCTGTCGTTCACAGCATGAAAACTGTCTTCTGGGTAACCAACAAGAAATCCGGCTCACACGTCGTCTTTCATGGCTTCCATCAGGCATTCCATGATGAGAGTCAGCGCAGTGCTTTCCTGCACCAGGATCAGATGTTATGACTGCCCAATAACGTTGTCGCAGGCCATAGTTGCCCCACGCGACGGCCAGATCTTTGTTCAGAATGCCGCAACAGCTTTCCAAGCATCCCGGCGCATAACTACAGGAAGTACAACAACGCAGGACAGCACTTCGAACACAACTGCAAGTTGCAGTGGCATAGTTCTCCACATTGGCAAGAATGTTTCACCAATTTCGTTGCGACACTCGATGGAATCCTGCTTCACATCTTGAAGACCGTGCTTTAAACCCTCGAGGCAAGTCATCCAGGACATGTTGTTCCAGATTTCCAGCTCCTCCGGAACATCTTTGACGACGCACTCGACAAGGCTCTTGCCAACTTGGAGACCTCAGCACACACCAGTGACCACTTTGGAAAAACGCACAAGGGCCAGATTCGGCCAGATAAAGGAAGGGGTTCAGCAAAGCATGTTCCCAGCGACGCTTGTGGAACTCAGGGAATGCTTGCAATCCTCTTTGTTGCTGCAGCCTTCGCGTCAAGTCCTGTGCGACCGACGAAGCTGCTGACAACAAGCAGGCTTTCGGGGCAAAGCGTCGGCTCGGCTACTGTCCTTGGAGCTGCGACACGGACTTACTCAACCACATCAGACTCTCCCTGCTTCGCCGCATATTGAAAGGAGGGCTCTTCCGAGCCCTGCGCAACTCCACTCCCAACCTGAACTCCGTTTCCTCGTAGATGGCAAGCACAACCTCAGGACGGCAATTCACACGTCCGCACGTCTTGTCGTTGTGTTAGTATGCGACAGACACTTAGCGCCTAGAGTTGCCTGCTCTAACACAATTTAATTAGCAGCCCGCACGGACTGCACATGAGATTAGTCAAGACACGCCTTGCTTTGCATCCTCAAGAAAAGTGTCGCACGCTGAGATGTGCACATCGTCAAAACGCTGCCACTCTGATTCTTGACGCACCCATAGGACAGAATGCAGTGAAGTTCAGCAGAGCCGACAGATGTGTAGCATTGATTGTCTGGTGGACCTCATTCTCGAAGAGCAAGACAAGCAGTACTCGCTTGCTGCCATCGTAGAGCACATCGGCGTCGCGGAGAACGCAGACAGAGCGCCGCAGGGGAAACCATATGCTAGAACGGTTGCAAGATCACGCACTACGGTCTTTTCTTTAACCGTCTTGGTCGCGTCACACTCGTCGCAGCCCAGCCCCTCGTCGAGGACTGTCAGTTGCCATCGCTTTGCCAAGAGCTCCAGAAGGCTGCCCACGGCTGCTTCTGGGTTATGAACAAGAACCAATGGAGTCTTCTGTGACTCGGTACTTCTGCACAGGTGTCCATGGGCAGAACACCCAACAGCACGTCCCCGAACGCCCGAACGCATCCGTTCAGTCCAACTTCTCGGAAAGACTGCCCTCGCCACGATTCTAGCATGTTACAAATTCAATTCAAATCTACGTAAGGACCCGACACACAGCCTGCATCAGCCTACACAACAACAGCGGAACACGCCATGCCAAAAAGATCCGAAGCTTGCAGGTGAAGATTTAGCTAGCTGACATGTCCCCGAATCAGCCCTACCTCAGCAGAAGTCCCCTCGCTTCGTCCATCCGGCCGCTCGCTGCCAGATGATGCAGGAGCCTTGCGAGAAATGGCGGGAGCTGTCTTTCGTGAGATGCCCGACTCATACGAGTAGGAACCCGCCGTTCTGCATCGACTCAACATAAGTCTGCGACCTCTGATAGTAGTAGCCGTCATCTGGTCCCGTCCACCATCTCTCAGGAGCCTTTGAATAACAGACACTTGCCGTGACAGGTACCGCCACTGAAAGACCTCCGTGATTGTGCTCTCACACCAGCAGGCTAGTTTTCGCTTCCGCAGATGAGCATTCAGAGGCCCAGCAGAGCAGCGGGACATCTGCGTCATGCCAAAGCATGTTTCTTCGGACGGAGCCATCTTACCCTGCAACAACCACCCAACCCCTAACGGATTTTTCAAATTCGCATACACGTGTCCGTCTGTCAAGAAACTGGCGCTTCGTCATGACTCGAAAGAAGATGTCATCAACTTGGAGAGAATGGGAACAACACATGGGGTCGCTTTCACGGCATGAGCAAAAGTCTGACGGCTGCTGCCCGCAGTTGCTGCAAGCATTTGGCGACTGGTCTCCAACCAGACGATGGCTGGTTGCGGCACATCGACGGCTGCCGCTCTCAGCCAGTGCAAGCAAAACAGAAAAAAGCAAGAATGGCGATAGAAAGCGAAGCGAAGGGTAGGAGGAAGGGAAGGGGCCGAACAGGGGGGCAGGGGACCGCTTCGGCCGGGGCCGAGGCGAATTTTTGGGGGTTCCTTATTATACTTATACTATAAAGGACCCCAAACCCCTATTCTAATTATTAAGGCCCCTAATATGAAACCCTAACCCTAACCCTAAACCCTAAACCCCTCAACCCCAAACCCTAATCCCAAAGCCCTATTCTAATTATTAAGGCCCCTATATTACAGCCTAACCCTAAACCCTAAACCCCTCAACCCCAAACC